GGTCTCTGCAGAGAGGAATTCTTTTTATGTTCAACATAAAGAGCTTAAATTGTTGGTGATTGCCTTGTGATTTTCTTAAGACTTTATTCTCAATTACATATAATGAGTAACAATCTTCTAGATGTCACCAAAAAGGACATTTCAAAAGTATTGTTTGAGGAAACACTACAAGGTAAACTGTTATAATTTTCTTCACTTCAAACGTCATAACAACATAATTATACAAAAAAACTAATTTGGGGAAAGAAGATACAATCACAAGCAACTATAATTCCCTTTTTATAAATGTACTGGCTCAAGCATGACTGAAATTATAGTGTTTGCGCCCACTCCCATTGTTATCATCATAATTAGCTGGTAATATTGATAATAGGAAGAGAGCAAAGGGCAGGCCAGACGTTGTAGCATCACTGAAGCAGCATCACTGAAGCAGCATCACCAAGAAGCTACAGCTTCATGCTCCCCAGGGCACCACCAGTCTACCCTACAGATCACTAAGGGAAGGGATCAAAAAAAGGCGGGGATGACCACACGAGCAGTGAAGTCGGGGTGATGTAGGGAAGGTACTTGCCTGTCAGTCTAGCTTGGGGAACAATGAATTGGCTAGGGGCGGTGAACCCCATCAGAAGCCCATGAAACCTAAGCTCCTGGTTAAAATTCCCCGACGAAGCTTTCAGTCTCTTGTGTCCTTGTTCCGACTTGTTCCCACATGTCCTCTCTTGCTCGGTGATCCGCACTTGCCTGTGTGCTCACCTGTTCTCTCGCCGCAGCCGTAAGGCCTTAAGCAGCTGCATGGCTCATAGCTGTGTGGACCCCACACGCAAGGGACTGCAGCTGGAAACACAGTTAAGCTAGCCAGATGCTAGACTAGACTTTACTAAGGAACAGAAATTCTGGCCAGTGGCCTTAATTCTGGCCCTGCTGAAAATAAGATTGGACTTCTAACATGGTGAGATGGATAGAGATGGGATCTTGGAGGGGAACCCACTTAAGTTTACATCATTAATAAAGCTTTCCATGAAACTCCATCCTCCCATGGGGGCCTCAAAAAATTCCTTTCCTAGAGACTTCCGGTCAAGATGGCGGCATAGATAAATGCGGTATCGTGTCCTCCCACAATCACATCAAAATTACAACTAAACTACAGAACAACCATCATTCAAAACCACCTGAAATCAAGCTGAATGGAAGCCCTATAACTATAGAATTAAAGAAGCAGCTGCATCGAGACTCGTAGGAGGGGCAGAGGCAGATGGGCTGGTGCCACACCCATGTGTGGCGGATAAAAATCAGGAGGATTGCTCGGCTGGGAAGGTCCTCCCTGAGGACTGAGGGGTCCCCCTCCCACACCAGGTGCCTCGCTCAGGCTTCCAGTACCAGGAAGAGAAGTCTTCATAACTTCTGGCTGGAAAAACCAGCGGGATCTGAGGCTCAGGGAGGCTGAGGTGGCTGAAGCACTAGGCAGCTCCTTAAAGGGCCCGCGCATAGACTTATCGGACTCTCTCCCTCTAAGTCTGGAGGGGAGGCAGCTCCAGGGGCTCCGGAGACATACAGGGAAGAACTGAGCTGTTTGGCATTGGAGCGAGGGCTGGAGAGAGGGCTTTCTCCGGGACAAATGTGCTGTCAGAGGCTTTTGTTCCTTTGGTGAGCCCTTCCCTGGGGTGGCAGACAGCCCATATCTGGAACTCCAGCAACCTGGCTCACACTGTTTGCCTCACCCTGGTGATTCCCTGAGGCCCTGCCCCACCCAACTTTCAGGCCCACCCAAGCTGTTGCCAGTTGCTTTACCATAGGATTGGCCTGTCTTTGATCCTGCTTCAGGTTTTCCTAAAGTCTTTCAAACAAGCAGCATCTGGTCTCAGCTAGCCCCATACCTCTTGTTAAGTAACACAGAAACAAACACAGGGAGGCAGCCACAAAGAGGAGACAAAGAAACAGGTTCCAAATGAAAGAACAGAACAAAACCCCAGGAAAAGAACTAAGCAAAATGGAGATAAGCAACCTAACAGATGCTGAGTTCAAAATACTGCTTATAAGGATGCTCAGTAAACTTATTGAGAACCTCAGTGAACTTAGTGAGGGCCTCAAGAGCATGAAAAAGGACCAGTCAGAAATGAAGGAGGCACTAACTGAAATAAAGAATAATTTACACACATTCAATAGTAGAGTAGGTAAAGCCAAGAAGCAAACCATTGATTTGGAATATAAGGAAGCAAAAAGAACAGCAATCAGAACAGCAAAAAAAAAAAAAAAGAATCCAAAAAAAATGAGGATAGTGTAAGGAGCCTCTGGGGCAACTTCAAGCATACCAATATTTGCATCATGGGGATGCCAGAAGGAGAAGAGAGAAAACAAGAAATCGAAAACCTATTTGAAACAATAAGGGCAGAAAACTTTCCTATCTTGGTGAAGAAAACAGACATACAAGTCCAGGAAGCACAGAGAGTCCCAAACAAGATGAACCCCAAGAGGCCCACACCAGGACACTTCATCATCAAAATGCAAAAGGTTCAAGACAAAAAGAGAATCTTAAAAGCAGCAAGAGAAAAGCAGTTAGTTACCCACAAGGGAGTTTCCATGAAACTTTGCAAGCCAGAAGGGAGTGGCAAGAAATATTCAGAGTGATGAAAAGCAAGAACCTACAACCAAGATTACTCTATCCTGCAAAGCTGTCATTTAGAACCCATGGCCATATGAAGAGTTTCCCAGACAAGGAAAAGCTAAAGGAGTTCATCACCACCAAACCATTATTATATGAAAGGTTGAAGGGTCTTCTTGAAGAAAAAGATAAAAAATCTGAACAAACAAAATGGCAATGAATACATAGCTATCAACAATTGAATCTACAAACAAAATGAACAAGGAGAACAGAAATGTTCTCATAGATACAGAGAACATTTTGTTGGTTGCCAGATGGGAGGGGGGTGAGGGAATGGGTAAAAAAGGTGAAGGGATTAAGAATTGGTTGCTAGACTGATAAACCTCAAAGGGAAAGGGGGTTGGGAGGTGGGAAGAAATAAACAAAAGAACTTATATGCATATATGCATAACCAATGGACCCATACAACAGTGTGGGAAAAGGCAGGAGGGGGGCAGGAAACCGGGAGGAGGAGGTCAAAGGGGGAAAAATGAGAAACATCTGTAATACATTCAACAATAAAGATATAATTTTTTTAAAAAATTCCTTTCCTCACGGCACCCCAAGATGTCCATTTCCATCAATAACACCATCATGCTTCAAGAGGCTACCTCATGAATATTGATGTCTTATCATGTGTTCTCAAAAAATTGAAGAATAGACAGGAAGAAGACAAAAATGGGAATGTGAGACATTGATGAACCTTTTGGCTAGTTTGATTTAGTCAAAAATGCCAGAAATATGTTCTCACTTCTTTCCTAAATGATTCATAGCTTGATAGCTGAAAATGTAGTTCTGATGCAAGGGTTTCACTGGTAGACATTTTTCAGGGTCTTATTGCACACAGGAAAAAAATAAAAAGTGAAAAAAATTGCAGAGCATCTTGTATTTTTGCATATTTCCACTTAAATTATACTTACATACACATATATTGGCAGATGTGGCTCTAGCCTATAGGAATGCCAGAGATCCCTTCCCCTGCATTTACTTCTCAGGTTGTAGGATTACAAGGTCACGTGTATGACAGACCATAAACAGATGGCTTCTCATGAGCCACACTCTAAATTCTATAGTCTCACTGGGTGAATTTTAAACCATTAATGCATACTGTTCCACAGGTGAAAAAAATGGAATCTCTATTGTTTTCTGTTTTGGTACACTTTTCAGTTTGGCAATCTGAGAATTTTAATTTCTATCTGACGTTGTTTAATTTCAATTATATTGTGTTTATAATTTAGAAATATTTATAGACAGCAAATATTTATAACTTTTTAGATTATCATGTTTCCAGACTCCAGCATTAATTCCTCTTTCATCAGGAGGCAGTCTTTAATTAAGCTTTATTGTTTCTTCCTGGACTCTCCCCAGCTTTTTAACACCTTTTTGAAATGCTCAGGAAGAGCATAGCTTTCTAGGTGTGGTCACTGTAGTCACTGGGAGGAACCTTCTCCTCCCCACTCCTTGGTATGATGTAACCTTTACATATTTTGTGAAGACAATCAGAAAGTGCTGACATGCAAGTCATCTGCCCTTAAATTCCTTCTGAAGGCAAAACAAAGCAAGTGAAATACCTTCTACTCAAAGGAAAGCAGAATGTGAAGTTTCGTTTAAGAGTGAATAAAAAGGCATAACTTATAAGTGAAAGGCTTGTTACTAGGCAACCGTTCTAAGAATATTCATGATTGATCCTCTTTTAACCCATCTCATGATCAAAATTGTTTTGTTTAGCAAGGTCACAATGGAAAAAAGTCTAGAGTTTTAGATTGAATCTAAGAGAAAAGTTGTAGATATTATTTTTAAATTACATGTCTTTCTTCCTTTAAAAATAAAATTTTAAATTATTATTTTACAAAACAAATGCTAAAATATTTACCTAAGATAGTAGCCAGTGGTGTGTTTTGGATTTAGAAGTGGGGTTGAGAATATCTCACTTGCAGCACAGATATGAGAAAATTGCTTTCTTCTCCCACGGTCAAATTTTAGAGCCAGAAGGGCCCTGTAGAAAATGAAACCAAAGCCCAAAGATATCAATGATCCTGCCCAAAATTATTCTAATTACATGAAAGAAATATTATTAAAGAGGAAGAGCCCTAATTCCCATAGTTATTTCTACGCTTGCTCCATTTTTTTGCTCCATGTGCAAATCTGCTATCAAGTTCTCAGAAATGGTTAAGAAAGTTTTCACATGCTATTGGCTGATGAAAAATTCCTGTGTCTAATTCTTCAGTTTCTCTTTCAGGGTCAATTGTAGAATTTCATTTATTAGTAGAATTCTTGCATTTCAGTCCAGATGGATAGTCACCAGGTAATTCCACGACCAACACGAGGAAGTGATGAACATAAGCATTAGGGAACCAGTGAGTCCAACACAACGTTTTATAATCCATGCAGAACCGAAATGTTTTGCCTCTTCAGGGCTTGAAATCCAAATAGCTTTCAGTCATCAGAAACTCTTTAGCTTATTCTATATTTCACAGATAAAGGCTCCACAGTGTTGTCACAAGCTGGGTATAATGTATGTTTGCCTTCCATTTTCTCGTCTCTGGCTTAGACTCCAGGCACATGTTTGGTTCACTGAAGGTGCCATAACACTATTATCATCCTAATAGTTGAAATCACATTCTTTTAGATATTATGAAAGCAGCATGTTTGGGATTATGTCCATTGAGCAGTAGTCCAAAATACTGGTAGCAAACACACGAAGAACCCAAGCTTGTCATTGCTATAGCTTGCTGCAAGGTGGATACTTATTCCCACGAAAACTCACATCTGACATGGTCAGAAGCATGAAACTCAGTCTCTCTGAAGTAAAAACAATAACCATACAACAGTAACAGACCCAGAGTAGTACTATGAACTTGACTTCTGTCACTGTAAGCTGTTCCATTGGTTCCCACGGTACCTTAACAATGACAAAGTCTAAAGACCAATATTGAAATGTATTCTCTCATTTCATCATGATCCCAACTTCTGTAATTTTCAAGTCTAGTCAGCTTGGGAAGTTTCGTTGTTTCAGCTGAAGATTTCAATTTTGGGTCCACTGATTTTTACAAATGCCTCATGACGATATCTTACAAAGACCTCACAGTGGTCTTCCTCTGGAACAGATGTTGTAGGGTGATTTCAATTGTAGACACCTGAAACAGAGTATTGATTTCTGTATGAATTTGACTGCTATTTGTATAGCTTATTGAGGATTATATAAATGTTCTGGTGTAACAGTTGCTGTTGGTGCCCCACCCAGATCCCATTTACCCATTGGTAGATCCATCCCCAGCGGCTGTGGGTGTTCACAGGCCCGTGGCAGCATCCTTCTTCAGAGGATTGCCCTGGGCCCACAGAGAGCTCTACCTGAAGATTCCTGGGAGATTCCTGGCCTGTGCTGTCACCCTGCCACCCATGCTTGATGACACAGGGTACTAAAACCAAGATCCCTGACCGTATATGGATAGGTCTGTAATACCATTCATGTTCAAGGTTACGCTGTGGAGTCAGGCTGAAGTTGGACTTCAGCTAATGCCACATTTTTGCTTCCTTCTTCCTCAGCCCTAGCTTTTCTTACTTCATTTCAGGTCTCACCCTAGGGCGTCCCTTGGCCAATCCCTTGCACAAGAATCCCCAATTTGTGTCTGCCTCCAGGGAACCTGATCTCAGACAGCTGTCTTATTAACATTAAAAGGTCCACTTCCTTTTTTTTCCTTTTTGGTTTCTTTGGCAATTGATACAATAATATCAGTTGATATAACAGATTTCATTCTCTCTCAGGTGCAATTATTAAGCAACCAAAGTTTTTCTTATTATGAAAGTCAGTCTCGGTCATTTTTTTTTTTTTTTTAAATCCTTACCCAAAGATATGTTTTTCCAGTTTTATCTTCAGACAGAGTGGGGGAGAGAGAGAGAAACATTGATGTGAGAGAGACACATCAATTGGTTGCCTCCCACATGACCCCAACCAGGGCCGGGGACAAACCACAACTGAGGTATGTGCCCTTTATCAGAATTGAACCCACAACTTTCTGGTCCACAGGCCGACGCTCTACCGCTGAGCCAAACCAGCCAGGGCAGTCTTGGTCATTTTTAAAATGAGAATTTAGTTAATAGAGTATAGCAAGGGAAATGTATTTATACTTTTTCCTTTAATTTATCTCATATTATTTCTTGATTTTTCCTTAGCTACATGGATAGAAGGAAAAAAACTGATTAGTGTGGATACCAGAAATAAGAATTAATGCATAAGTAACTTACACTTAGTAGATGAAGCTTATCTTTGTAAGCTTCTAGCAATAGATAATATCTCCTGAGTATATCCTTAATTGATTTTTGGAAGTAAATGGCCCATGTTTGTCACACATTTTCATTCATTTAATACTCATTTCTTGATTTCTTTATTCAACAAATAAATAATGAGCGTCTATTGTGTGCCAGGCACAGTATTTGGCACTGAATTGTGAACAAAACACACTTAATCTCTATTCTGTGGGTCCTACTGTCCTCCTCGTTTATAACTTTGATGCAGGCAAGACAGAAATGAGGATGAAGAGAAGTTGTGAGTTGGAGCTATCCTACTGCAACTGCGGGTACATTTTTACTGCTTATCTTGGTTTATGAGAAAAGACATCAAAACAAATACTTAGGAATTTGCCATATTTACAGCCATATTTTTACTAAAAATTATACATATCAATGCATAGTGCATTGTAGGAGCTCAATAAATATTTTTCAAATGAACAAGTGGCCAGTGACCTCATATTTTGTTTTTTGTTTTTTGTTTCCATACCTCTTTCTTATGTAGCAGTAAAATATAGCAAGAAAACCACTTAATAATAATCCAACGCCAATCCCAACTGCAATGTATTTTTCATAAGAATCCACAGCATATGAAGTTAAGGTCAAATGCTCACACCTTTCTCCAGTATAACCAGTAAAACACCTTTACAAAAAGAAAAGAATGAATAATTTTTAACTCATGATGATAGAAATACAAAGACCAGTTTCAAAGAATGAAACCATTTTAATGGGAAAAAAGTGATTTAAATTAAAGAGGCAAATACCAAAAGAAAGCCAATCTGTTACAGGTATTGAAGAAGCTATGTATTTTACAAAAATCCTTTCATTGAGGCCCCATATCAACTTTCCTCCCTGGCGAAGGGGGTGATAGTACCTGTGTTTGCATGCCTTGATCTGGAAAATGATTTACCCTTTCATAGGAGGATGCTGAGCAAATCAATGATCGTAAGCATTGTATCTTAATTGCTCTAGGACTCTATATTCTCGAAGTGTTTTTACCATACCTTATTTCATTGTATCCTAATCATATTTGCATGATGTTAAAATGCTGATATGGATTCAGTAGTTTTGAGGTGGAGCATAAGCCTCTGCATTCCTAACACACTCCCAGGTTACACAGATGCTACTAATCTGGGAACCATATATTTGAGTAATGAGGATTAGGTAGTTTAGAAATTACTGCTCAGATATCCAACTACAAAGAGGATTGTTGAGTCATGATCAGATCATGTACCCTTTCAGCTCCATGAACTAGAAATGTGTGGAAATGCACTATGTGAAACACCAGAAGCATAAATTCACCTTCTCCCAACTCTAGGACCTGGGAAGTTTGTTGCAATTACCTGCAGATGGCTTTCTTCAACTCATAATGGAAGGCACAAACGCCATTGATGCAGTAACTATTGTGGTCTTCCAGGCAAGGATGTGAGAATTTTAAGGCTACGGGTACTTCTGTGTGGTCAGATAGAAAAAAGGAGAAACGCTATTAGCAGATAAAGTGGGTTACATTTTTACAGGAGATTTCTAACAAATTAAACACACCTTTAATTTCAAGAATATTCTTTGGGTGCTATGTCCATTGAACCATTGATTGGTTTCCTTGGCAGGTTATATTCACAAAGGTTAGGTTAATATCACCTATTCATATCATTAATTAATTAGGAGATGGAGGTAAATTGATCACTGTCCCATTCCTTAGAAGCCACATAAGAAGGCATACATTCATGTTTGCCAAAAGGTGGCAGCATCAAATTAGTTTTAGCGGCTGTCCTGAGCAAGGCTTCCCAAACCTATGCGTGGATGCTCATAAGTATAAAAGATCTCGCAATTTGTTTTTCATTTTCCTCTTTATACCTAAGAAGTCAGCACTTCGGAGGATTTGGGTTAATAATTGTGAGATGATGAACTTGATTTCTCTTCTCTTCTCCCAGAAGAGAGTGAGATGAGACCTCCCTCTTTTGTTGACTACCATGAGTAGCTAATTGAAAAGGGAACATTTTCCCTGATTTCAGAAGAGGGATGGTTATGACCTACACGAGAAGCCAGAAACAATATATGGCCCAGGCTCAACATCCTTAAGAAAATACTTTCAAATATTATTTAGAAATTTTACTCACTTAAGAGACATTATGAAATAGTGGGAAAAAGCCTTGGAGTTGGAACTTTAAAACCTGGGCTTTGATTTCTAGCTTTTTTTTTTTATCCTCACCCGAGGACACTTTTCCATCTTTTGTACAGATAGAGTGGGAGGGAGAGAGAGGAAGGGAGAGAGAGAGAGAAACATCGACGTGAAGGGACACATCGAGTGGCTGCCACCCGCACGACCAACCAGGGCCGGGGACAAACTGCAACCGAAGTACGTGCCCTTAGCGGGAACCGAACCCGGGTCTCTCCGGACCGATGCTCTAACCACTGAGCCAAACTGGCCAGGGCGATTTCTAGCTTTTATACTATGCAAGTGACCACACCTGACAGAATTTTTGTGGTCAAGAGTTCAGATGCCTCTTTATGAGAAGCTTCCCTTTGGGTAGCTGTGTTGTGGCAAAATGGATATATTTCAGGATGGTTACTCTTCATGCCTGAACCAGGGCATGTGACTACATGACCCCTGGGGTTCGTGCAGTGGGAATGCCAGCGGCTGGACTGTGCAGACGACTCCCATGGGTATACTTTACTTGCTGATTCTTAAATTTTTCTCAAGTAGCTTTAGTGCCATTTTATTTTGTTATTGTTACGAATACATATGTCTTGAATAGCTCCTCATCCTTAGTTATGTCGTACCACATTTGTCTTGCTAAGCAGATTAAGACATCTTATTTGTTCAGGTCTAAAAAAAAAGAGCAGACTTTTTTAAATATCGAAAATACTAAATTTTTAAGTGCCAAGACACCAATAAGATCTTGTGTGGAGAACGCAATATGACCTTAAAATTAACATTCATTTCATTGAATGTGGTGTCATGATTCTAATTTCTCATTTTAATAGTTAATTCTGAAACACTGAGAAGTTTGCATTATAAACTGGGCTAGGTTCTCCCTAGTTTAAGACCAGAGCCTGAATCAAGATGTACTATAAAATGTGAGAATTGAAAGAAGACATTTCAAAAAAAAAGCTATGCTAGAGAGATTCATTTTTCCTATAAGAAGAAGAATATTTGTTATATATAACTTTTAAAAATGTTTTAAAATCCTGGATTCAGATTTTTAAGTTAAATAAAAAGCAAGTAAAAACTAAAGTTTTCCATTATTATTACCTGCAACTTGGAGAATTTTACTTGCAGTTCCCTATTGAGGAAGAAAAAAGGTGGTCTGGGCTATGAACTCAGTCATTGAGAGAGGCTGCACCTCAATTTTCTGCAGTATTATCTTCCAATAAACATATTTCTTTTCCTTTTTGTTCAAAGGCTCAGCAGACATGAAGATGTAAAAGTTATTCTAAACCCCACACTGGTTTTGGTTTGCAAATTGATAGGTACTCAAAAACTCAAATGGGCAAAAATATTTCAAATACATTTTTTTAAATTTAAAATTATTGGTGAAATGAAGAATTCTTAATTATTACTATCTTTCATATTCAAAAACAAGTCTTTGACTTGCTGTTTTTTATTTGCCTGGCACTGAGAACAGACAGTGTCTCCTCTGTCCTGTATCACATCACCTCTCCACGTCAGGGGGCAGTGTGAGGTTTGTGTGGAAATAAGCCACAAGTCTTGGCAAGTAACAAGTTTGCCAAGTTCCCCTCTAAGAGTTCAAACAGGTTTGAAAATACGCTGATGCTCAACAGCAGCTGGAAGCTATTTAAACAACAATAATAAAATAGAAAAGAAAACCTATAATTACCATAAAAAACTGGGTAGGGTAGTTAGAAAATATCTCCTGTGCTAAAACAACAACAAGCGCTCCCCAAAAGAAACAAGGAAATAAATATTTCCAAAGATGAGGGGACATGAATTAAGGTTTCATTGTTTTATTGGCTGCAAAGCTCATAGTTACAGATCAAAATATAATGCCCCAATGGTGAGAAACTGCCCCTGGACATGTGTGAGTTACAGGGACCCAAGCAGGAATCAAGCAGAAAATGTGGCATATTTAACATTCAGGACAGTCACTGAAGACAGCATTTCTTTCATTTGCTTCGCTTCCTCCTTTTAAAAAGCCAGTTCTTTGCAGACACATTTACCTGTCACTTCCAATTAACAGCATCATGCTAAAAGTTAATTACTTAATCATTAAATAGATATTTAACATTTTCCAGTGTTCCTTTTATCACAATCCAAATTTCTCTCTTAAAAAAAAAAAAGTCACTTGAAATACAAAAGTGCAAAGAAAATACCTTTTGTTTTGTTAATTGTCCAATTATTTTGCCGGGTTGTGATTGCCGATGTTACATTCAAGGCAACCTCTTCAGTTAATAATGCTGCCATTGCTGTATGAAGGGGGGGAAAAGGCATCTTTAACAGGTGAGCTTCCTTCTATGTATAAGCAACAGAGAGAAAGTTATTCTATTTATTCTCACTTGTGTTTTATTTTAAATTCATGTACCTCTGAGATCCATCACCTGCCTAGCGCAACTTCCTGGCAGTTTCTCATCCATACCCAGTCCATCGACTGTGTTATAATTATAGAAAATAAAAACACATTAATATTTAAGAGAAAGTGAATACATTTGTATACTGGCTTAATCACAAGGATGCTGTCATAAGCAGTTAAAATGTATTAACTACTCTTCAGTTTTATAAAGCAAACATTTTAGAGGTTTCAAAAAAAAAAAGGATGTCAAAATGTACTAGAAGAGGAGCATAGATTCCACATGAAACTAAAATAATTCATAGATTCGTTGCTCTGATCTTTGGCGAGAAGAACAACTATGAAAACTTCTCACTGATTCAGAGAAAACAAATCCTATTCACAGTTCACACTGATACAAAGTTAACAAAACAAAAAGAAATTACCTACCATTGAATAAAAGATAGACTGATACTGAAACTCTGAAAGCCATCTCCCGTCCTTGTCAACAGGATCTTGCTTATCCTCTTGGACTGGCCGTCGGAGGTTTTTATGGAGCTCTCTGAGTCTTGCATTTATATTTGATGAAGCGTCATCTGGCAGTTACCAATCAAAAAAACATGTAGTTCTGGCAGCAACATGAAGCCTGGAGGCGCTCACACGCTGGTTAGGATACCTGTGTTATCTCACAGTGTGATCAAGTTTTCCTTTGAAACACTTCTTTCCTGTTACCTGTGGGCATAAGCAGGAAAGTAAAAGTACTTAAAATAACAAAAAAAGAATCTGAAGTCAGGAAAGGCCCATTGGTGTAAAGAGAATTATACCAGCTCCAAAGTTCTTACTGACAAAAGGAGTTTTTATATTTATGAGCTAGGAGACAGCATAACCTGTTAATAAAAGAAATATTCCTGAATCTGCAGGTGGCACTGCTTTTCAGTACAGACTAGACTTCATTGCGAATCAAGATATCTTATAATTTAGTGGCAGAGGAAAAACAATTCCATTGGTGTAAAAACAGGTTTAATATTCCATTTTAGTTTTCGCTATCTAGTTTTATTATTACAAGTTCTATAAAAATAATTATTTTTAATTGTATAAAATTTACCATGATGTCATTGTGCCATTTAAGATTTTTTTCTGAGTAAATAGAATGGACTATCATGTTCTGGAAACTACAATGCTTAAATTTGTGCCCCAATGAGTAAGTAGGCTAGAGAGGACCAGGAAAGCATCATCATCATCATCGTCGTCATTTTTATTGAGATAAAATTAAAATATTTAGGTTTTTATTTTAATACAACATTCTATTTTTTTCACTATTAATCTAGTTATTATTATTAAAGTGCCATTTAAAAGGCCAAAACATATAATTATTGCTGTTACATATTGTGACTAAAAGGAATTTCCCATAAATTTTCACTTACCCCAAATTGTTGTGAATAATTTATCACTATGTTCTGCAGAAGTGTTGTGCCTTTCTCTCAGGAAAGGCTCATATTTTCTGTACCTTAAAAAAGCTGTTTAAGTCAAGAGAGGTTATCATTTGCATCATGTCCACCCAGCAAATTTAATTTACCAGAATAAGATCTCTATTACTATTCAGACATGGATTTGGCTTTAGAAAGCACACAAGAATGAGCTTGTTGAACTCATTATAACTTGGGCAATCACTTACCACAGGCGTCATTGTTTTAAAGTTGAAAGAATATATGGTACTTGGCTCACTTTAAATGTGCCTACATTTTTTTTCTGCTTCAGTGGAGTTTTAAAAACTATTAAGATAATTTCTGAATAATATTTCTCCCAGACAAATAAATAGGTCAAATAATCATCCTCTGCACCACTGGTGAACATTTAAGAAGGAATCTTAAATTACAAAAGATTCCATAAACCATCACAACCCATGTCAATTTTTAGAAGAAGCAGCTAGGACTAATGTCAAATATCTTTATTTCTAAGTCTGGGGCATGGAAGCACAACCAACCATCTTTGTAATAACTGTTAACTGATGCTTCCATTGTGCTTAGCATTTTACAAAAGGTTTTCATGCACATCTCAATTCTTTCTTTGTAATCCTGGCCCCAACAGTTCGAGCCTCTGTCACATAGTATATACTCAGTGAATCTGTCTTAGTGAATAAAGAAATTAACAGGCCTTGTTTTTACTCTCATATGACAAATAAGGAATGAAGGCCCAAAAGAACCAAGTGGCTTGCCGAAAGATACGCCCTAGAATCAGAACGTGAATACAAGTTCGGATTACAGACATAAGCACCTTGCATTTTCCCAGCTGTGCCCTCTGATAGGAGTTGGTATGCTGCTCTCAGAGAAATTCTCTTAATTATCTCCTAAAATCAAGCTGTAAATAAGTTACCTTTATCATTAGAATCTCAATACTAAATGAACTGTGGCTTTCACACACATTGGGGCTTAGAGAAATGGATCCTTGTCTCTCCAGATGTTTCCCTATTCTGGTGAGTTGGGCCACATAATGTAGAAACTCATCTACCACTTCAGCTTAAGATTTATACCAGAAAATAGCTCTCAATCATTGCCCATGCTTCTTTTTCTCTGGAACTCACACTGATGGATCTCACTCAGATTCTCTATAGGACAGATTCCTACCTTCTTCAGTTCTTCAATCCTCTCATCAGAAAGTCCTTTCCCCAGTGCTGGAGAACGGGGAACAGGGTGTGGTAAGGTGGCCTCATTGATATCTTTATTCATTCTTGACATATGTTACAGCAGGTTGGAGGGAGAAAGGAGAAGGCTAAGAGCTGCAACACTCCACTGTCATTTTTCCCTACTACCACTTCCTGTCTTTTTTCTTTATCTTGCTCCTCTAGTTATAAGCATCTCTGCAAGTGTCTTCACTCCCCTTCCCTTCTCCTTCCTTTTCCTCTCTTCTTCTCTCCGCTTCTTTCCTTGCCTTCTTTTTTTCTTGCTCTTTCACTAACTCAACAAAAATTTGATGCTGGATGTTGGCAGAAAATGGTCATTAGTCCTTTGCTTAGAATTCTTATAGATTCGATTGTCAGTCACTCATTTATTCATTCATAAAATATTGAACATCTACAACATTCATGGCACTGGGCTGGGTGTTATGATGTTTACAAAACAAGCAGATGAATCATGTGTGGACCCTGACCTCAGGAACTAAAGGGAGATGAGGAAAACACATCCATAACCACAGTTCTGGGTAGGAACTCGTAACTGTCATGAATGTACACGTAAACCATGAGGGTCCAGGGGTGGGACTTAAACTCTCAAGGCACTTTCCATGGGTAAGTTTCATTTGAAGTGAATCTTAAATAACAAGTAGAATTTAGACATATAGTGATAAGAGAAAGGATTCTTGGTCGAGGGAAGGTCCGGCAGAGTAGTGTGGTGAGAAGAAAGCACATTTTGGCTCACACCATCCCTACAGACTTGTTTTGAATTCCAATGCCGCTTTGACTGAGCCTTTAATAACCCCAAAAGTAAATTTTTTTCTCATCTATTAAATGGGTTGCTAATAACAAAAAGAAAATAAAGCATTTAGCATGTGATAGGCTCTCAATTAAGAATAACTGTTACTATTGAACAACTAGAAAACCACAAGGTGTGTATAATGGTCAACAAGACCAGGAATTTAGTGATGAATACATGCTGATGGGTCCTAAATTTTCAACACTAGCCATGAATTCTTATTCTTTTTCTAGACTTATATTGTCAGCATTTTTATTTTTTTAAATTTTCTTATTTAATGAATTTATTTTTGTTACAGATGTTTCTCCTTTTCCCCCCACTGATTCCCCCTCCCCCACCCTCCCTGCCCTGTCCCCAGCTTTGTTGTCCATGTCCATTGTTCATGCATACATGCATATAAGTTCTGTGGTTTATCTCTCCCCCACCACCCCCTCTTCTGGGGATTGTCAATCTGTACCCCACTTCATCAGGATTTTTATTTATATATTGTGTCATAGCCTCAAACCCAACATGTCTTAAACTGAACGTTTTATCTCTTCTCCAAAATCATCTCCCTTTACAATTTCCTCGTGTTAATCAATGGAAACATCTTCCAGGCTCTAATTTCAATTTTCATAACTTACTCAATAAGGTCTAAATTTTAATTTACTCAAGCTTTCCCTATTTTATTTCCACATACTTATTAATTGTATTTCTACCACTCTCCAGAACACTTTTCATTTTAGTACAACTGCATTCCTTGCTTTCTACATAGATGCTAGGATCATCCTTACCTCCATATCTTTGTATTATTGTTCAATCCCAATTAATTATGTAGAGTGATTTTCACAGACACTTGTAGGAAAAGGAAATTTACTTTTCCAAATCTCCTGCACAAAATCATCATATGTCTATTTTTTATGGACTCCAAATATTCATAAATAAAGTCATGGTACCAACAAACCGATTTTATCTCCTTTATGTGTTGACAAAGGCTTCTTCCTTGACCAAACTTTAGTCAGGTTTCTCTGGGTCCTCTTCTTGCCTAGGTCTCAACTTGGCTTGTTCAGCCCAGTTTTAGAAAAGAATCCTGCTAAGTCAATATATGGACCACCTCCATATCTGGTCAAGTTTCTTATTGCCCACACTCGATATCACATGTCATTGGCCTGCCTTTTAGCAAGAATGGTGGTAAGCTAGTTTAGCAAGAATCCTCCTACCTTTGATACTAACCAAGTTCCTCTCAGTAATTTTCTATCCACTGATCCCCTCACTCTGCTCATCAGCTATAAATCCCCAGCTGTCTTTGCTGTATTGGAAGTTGAGTTCAATCTCCTCTATTGCAATAGGCTTGACCCTATTGCTATATAATCTTGAATAAAGTCTTTCTTACCATTTTTAACAAATGTCAGAATAATTTTTCTTTTACACTATTTTAATTAGTTTCTGGAAGGGCTCACTTCTGAATTTTAGCCTAGCCAAAGGAGCAAAAATCTTTTTAAAAAAACTCTCCTTCACTTTGTGGTAAACAGGTTGGGCTCAAAATGACAGATTTCACCTTTTTGGTGTACATGTATTTTGGGTTATTTTGTTTGTTTTGAGAATTTGCAGCCCTCAAAAGTTAAAAAGACCCATTTCTGAAATGGTTGTTCCAGAGCTTTAAATTTAAACTTCTGTCAGGGTTATAAGACAAAGATGATCTAGACTCATTGTGGAATGGGCTATAGAACTTTTACTTTCATGTTTGAAAAACGTGTGCATTTCCTAGCATGCTATAAATAGATAGATAACAAATACATGAACAAATCAACTTATAGATATTTTAAGGAAAAAAAAGAAGACAGGTATTCTTATTCAAATTGCTTTTATTATACAGTTAAAATACTGTTAATTATAAACATCCAGTCTATTTTCACATAAATGATAAAGCATACACCCTGTTAAAGACATGCATGGTGTAAGAATTATTATTGGCATATAAATATACTGGGATTGGGGTATGAAAACAAAACAATTATGTGGCCAGAGCTGTCTCAAATTACCCTTCAAGGGAGAATCACATGTATTTTCTCAGTTAAATTGTGCTGGAAACACAGCATGCCCTTTGAGAACCAAATGCGGTGAGAGAACCTGGCAGGCAAGCAGCAGGTTTTAGTCATATCCTAAGGTTTAACGTGGGCATGTTGTAAGTGCGTTTTCCCAGTAGATTTCTGAATTTGTGGGAAAAAGAAAGTTCTTTGATGAAAGCCTCACTTACAGTATGTCACCTTTTTTCTGATATTTGTGGGGAAAGACCACTTTTGTTTTGTGCATTTGTTTGTTTTTGGATTTTCTATTATTCCTCAAAGAAGGCAATGACTACATATTTTTTCTAGAAGAACAAAGAAATTACATGAAAACCTAATACATTCTTAATACATTTTTGCTATGACAAGTAGTCTCTGACAATTTCAAATAACCATTACCTTTCCAAGCAGCTCTGCATTTCTGTTTTCCTTGAATGGAACACCATTTCTTATTAGGATGCCTCACAGAAGGCATTTAGGAGATATGTGAGGTCAAAAATTTTTTTTACATTTATTATCTTTCTTTTAGCAACTTAGTTCTTTTTCAGCATGATATAGAACAGAAAACATAAAAATTGAGCATGCTTATGGCAAAACATAAATTACATTTTACATGGGTACCCATGTGGCTGACAAAACAGTTGTTGAAAACATATGGTGTGTGATATTTAATTGTGTCAAAATATATTATTCATTATGAGCCCTTTATTATGAGCCCAACATTATGAACAAATATTATTCACAAAATAAGTGCTTGTTACCAAAGCGTTCACTGGAATTGTTTTGTTTTTTCCCTAAAACGCAAAATCTGTTAGCAGGAAACGCATAAAGTTTTGTGAATCCTCTGATACACAGTGATTCCATCCATGAAAATATAAATACAATGTAGAAATAAATAGCTTTGTAGTAAAATATAAAAATTTTTTACCCCTTATCAAATAAATAAATAGCATGATTTCAGCTTGCTTCGTCCCTTCGTGTGACCTAGTAAATGACTTTCTTAGCTGCCAGGAGGGTGTTCTTCAGAAGCATCGCCACTGTCATGGGTCCCACACCTCCTGGAACTGGAGTGAGAAAGCCAGCCTTCTTCTTGACAGCTAAAGGACAAACAGAAAGTAGTCTTTACTTTTCAATTTTCCTGAGAATTTTATATTTTTAAACATACTAAACTGTTAAAAGATAAATTGAGGCATTTAAAAACTTTTAAGAGTTTGAGCATTTATTTTATTTTTCCCTTTATTTTTTAAGTTAATTAATTTATTTTTGTTACCGATGTTTCTCCTTTTCCCCCCAGACATCATTGGGCATTTATTGATTGTAATTGGGCAGCACCAAACCAGAAGTGGTTAGGAGAACTCCTTGGACAGGGACACAGGGGAGACGTTTTGTTTGTTTAAAAAAACTGTCTGACATATCTCAGGGTGGGGATGAGAAGAGATAAACCAAAGAACTTATATGCTCATATGCAGAGCCCATGAACACAGTAGTGGGGTGAAGGCCTGAAGGGGGTCAGAGAGAGGTAAAGGGGAAATATGTAATACTGTCAACAATAAAGACATATATTTTTTTTAATTTTTAAACTTTTCATTTACAGTAGACATAGAATATTATATTAGTTTCAAGCGTACAACACAATTAGACGTTTATATAACTTACGAAGTGATAAGGCAAAGATCTTTATGGAGAAAAGGGAAAAGCAAAGTCAGGAAATTATTGATGGATATAGCTTAAAACCTTGCTGGCTGTTTGAGATTGACGGTCATTAGGTTTTGATCTCATGGCACTGATACATTTACAGAGGTAGATTTTGTTTGCTTCCACGGGCTGCGTGGTGCTCCAGCCACCCCGGTCTACTGGCCTCCTTGTCCAAGGAACTTAACAGAATATAGTAGATTTTTCTGCTTTACACGTGTGACTCAAACAACCCCACATTATTTTTAGAATAAAGTAGGTTATAACACACACACACACACACACACACTTCTGTGTATGATATCTTATGTGGATAGATAGAACACAAAAAGACCAAAACTGAGGTTGAACCTCCATGCAGCTCAGTTTGTTTTATATGATGAAAATCTAGACTCCGTGATAGACTCAACTACCTGTAATTCCAGTTAACTACTTCTAAAATACTTGATATTGGCCACAAAGGAAAGATAGGCTGTAGACCGTTTAGCAAACACTACTTATTAAATTGGAATAGTCCTGTTATTTGTGGATAATACATTCCAGTGCAAGTCTAAAAAAATCATTAACATATTTGAATTACTGAGCATATGCACATGGTCCTATTCTAAGGTATGAAGACATTTTATCCAATGAATATACTAAAAGAAAATGACAGAGAATTTCCAGCAAGTTTTATTTAAGAATGTTTTCATACCCGCAGTATTACGGGTGAATGGCTCCATGCATTGACCTGCTGATTTAATGCTTCACCATGTAAAAACAATCAGGTTTTCCCACATAATTCTTATAAAGTTAGCATAGATAATACTCTTTAACACATAATCCAATATTATTAATCACATGTCATTTAGATGTATATACTTTTACAAGTTTGCTTGTATATGCTTCTACATGAATCAAAATCAGAAGATGTTTTCCAGATCTTAAGTATTATTGTTGTATAATTTATATTGCCTTCTTGAAATATGGCTTGTAAAATTTGCATTTACCTTATTTGAAGTATAGTAGCACATTGCAATACTTTTTTAAATCATAGGAAAATCAAAGGAATAATACTCCTTTACTTGAAAAAAAGTCCAAATAAGTTTAAAGACATCACACACACATACACACCCAGTGTGTATTATAAATCTTCTCATGGTATATAATAAAGAAAAGATAAGAATACTGTGATTTGGAAGGTAATATTTCAGTTTCCCAAGAAGCCTCTCTACATGAAGCACGCCCTTGCCATACTTCCATCCAATTCTGTTCTGTAGAAACCCTCTGCTAGGTCCATAGCCATTTTGTAAGTAGCTATGAATGATCAATATTTTCTTCCTTTGCTCTCACAATTCCTTCTACCTGGAATACTATTCTATCATATCCAAATAAGAAACTCCTCATTATTTTTTAAAAGCCAATAAAATGTCTCCTATCATTTTCTCAAAAATCTTACCCTTCCAACGTGGAATTAAAAGCTCCATTATCTTCATGGAGGGACTTTACACTACCTCCATCATGGAACCTGCACTGTGCTGTTGTTCCCTTAGCCAGACACCGGGACACAGAGGCAGAGCCAAGTCTACATGGTGGTGGTTGTCGTTTTCAATCTGTGCACTCAATGCACAGAGTAGATATTCACCACATTTTGACAAAGTGAACTAAATAGCCCTTGAAATTTAAAAATCTAAAATCAATTTGCAAGAATGTGTCAGTGCCTTTGACTGGATACAAGCAATATCAAAACAATTTAGTTCAAGCTAATTTCCTGGAAAACTCAAGCTACTCATTTTTCTGGAAGGTGACAAACTGCAGTTTTCAATAAACTGACTTGATGGCATGAACAATGCCTTCCAGGGCCTTTTCTATAAGATTGGAGAAACAATGCCTTTAAAAAATTTAGCAGGTATCCAAAAGAAATGCACTATTTACTACTATCACTACTACTTATACTGTATATAAAATCACTGATTTGTAAAACTAACTTTAAAATATGAACAGATGAAAATAAAAGATTGGTGAATAATATGGTGAATTAATAATCAAGTACAAACTAAACCTTCAATAAAAAACAAAATTATTTATTTCACAATCAAAAGGTGGATAAGATAGATTGTGTTAGAGAATCTATTATGGGTATATAATCATTTTTACCTATAATTTAATTTTCACTTTGAAAAAGTAAAGTGGTTTGGAATTATGTGTATATTGAAAAAATAAATAACCATAGTTACTATCAATTGAACCCCCACTACTTGCCAAGAATTCTATATACACAATTTTAATAATTATCATTTCATTTTAATAGATGAGGAAACTGTGGTTCACGGATGTCACTGACTTACCATGCTCCTATATAGTAGAGACATTATTCAAAGCCAGGTTTGAGATGTCTGTGGTTGCATAATTCTACTCCATCCCAATGCCACCATATTACCACGACCTGAACCAGCAGGAAAGTCCCACGAAAGACTCATGTGCCAAAAATGAATTGCTTTCTAAAGGGTTAGGAGGACATTCTGAAAACAGAAACAAAGAGGAAAAAGTTCTACTCTACTAATTTTCCTACATTTTTACTATGAGTGCTCACAGCTCATCGTTTTTGGATTACATCCAGCACTTCACACTACACAGCTGGTTTAGCAGTCAGAGCTGCTTTCTTCCTGGCTGTCGGATCAGATCGATCACTGGTCTGCTCAGGTGTCATGACCCTTCTTCACCAGAATGTGTTTTTCACAACATGGTGACTGTCGCATTTTTGCACTCAAAAAATGAAGTTTGTAGGGGAGAAGGGAATGGAAATGAGCTGTTGTATAAAATAATACCTGCCCCAAATTTGCAGCTTGGTTTCTGCATTTTTTCCACAGTTCACTGGTAGAAACTAACACACATGTATCCTCTCTTACCTATCACTTCCTAGAATTAGATTATGTGAGGGGTAAAGAGTTTTCACTTGACCAGGGTAAGGTGTCCCTGGATGTTCATAAACATTGAGTAGCATCAGCAGAGCCCTGCAGATTACTAACTAGTCTCAAGTTTATGATATTACTGTGAATATGCCTGGTTATTCAAATACTTGTTTCAGATACATTTTATCTTTAAAATAAACTGAGCAGATGTGAAAATGAAGATTTTACACAGTCCTAAAAGGCAGACTGTTTTTTGATTAAAAACAAACACAAAAATATATATACAAGGTCTCCATTCCTTTGGATTTGATTTTCATGGGGATCTATGTCTGAGAAGGAAATGCAGTGATGGGCAAAGACAGGTCTACAGTTGTCCGTATGGAAAATAATACTATAATTAATAAATAATAATACAAGAAAAAAACTCTGTTTGGCGTATGCACAGCTGTAAACCTAGTTTTTCCCACCCCTCTATAAATTGATCTGCTGCTGGCTAGTGTTACTGCATTCTTTGTCTATTTACATAAGGACCAGGATATGGAAGGAAGGAAGGGATTTCTCAGGAAAGGTAGGGGGTTATCACTGGCAAATACTAGTGTGTACAGAAACCAATGCTTAAAAGAAATTCTGTAGTCCAATGAGTTTGTATAAGTATTTCATAACTGTCCTAAGTGATGAGTTTACAAAGTATCAGAGGTGGCTTATGATTAAAATTAGTCATGTGAGAAAGAGTAAAATTCAATACATGTTTGATACTCTGAAAAGCATCTTCCCCAATTATGTCTGCAATTATGAGAGCAGGTTAACAATAAGCATTACTTCTTCTGAATTACCTTTTATTGGCCGGTCCTTCCCTGAGGGCAGATGAGGGTTTGCACCTGTTTATAGAAGATGATGCTTTTCAAGATTAATCCTATAATGCAAAAGGTATTCTATGTGCTCCATTGAAGAAAATACAGAAGCATTTTAAGGCAATCATTTCCTTCAGAGACTTAACTTGGTGTGCTTGGGTGTGAGGGAGTATATGTGTGTTTTAGGAAAAATACCCAAAGTTCTGTATGGATGAGAATCAGGTGTTAGACCTTGACTGATGACAGCACTTTCATGAGACAATCATGAAGAGTTATTACAAAAACAAGAGTTAGATTCAATTTCATAAAATTAACATAATCTCAAAGTCACTGCAACTCTTTGACAATGGAGGTAGATAAAACAATCATCAGATCCTACTGTCTGCGTGGAACCTGCTCTAAGGAATGAGATTTAAATGGAAATGACATGGCTGTGGGTAAGCAGGTTCCTGAGGGGGAATAATAATTTGAGGGAAGGCAACAATTATCATGGCACTTTGTTTTAATGACCTCTATGTAAGCTTTAGACTCTGCAAAGTAAATAGATTTCACATGGTCAAACTCAAATTTAAAGGCTTGGGATAGGAAGAATAGCAAAGTCACACTGCCAAGGGGATGTGCATATGGAGACTAGAGATGTGTAGTCATTTTTTATAATCTATT